AGAAAACTTTATCCTATTTAAAAAAACAATAAAATATAGTCATGATCCATTAGAGCATAGGACAAATTATAATAATGTTATCCTTAGTAATCTATAGATTAATTTCAATAGTCATTGTTTTTTTTTTTTGTTAGAAAAAAAATAATTTTTCTTACCATTCAATAGCTTCAGTTCCAACATCAGATTTAAATAATAGATCATCAATATTAGCATGTTGTTTAATATATTCACATGCAAGTACAGATTGTACTTGTGCTTCTTGTAATGTTGAACCATAACCAAGTACATTAAAAATTCTTTCACCATTTGTTGTTATAGTATTTGTTTCACTTGTACCATTATTATTAACATTAACATCTGTTTGATTATGAAATATTTTAACTTTATTATTTTTAGTTGCTGTTAATAAAATTTTATTTGGTATATTTAATGATTTTTTTGTTGATGTTATTGTTGTATTAACACAATGAACACGACGTTTTTTACTTGTTAATGGTAAAATTGGTACTGATGATAAATCAAGTGCATATTGAAGAAATATATCTGGTTCACATAATGATAAAAGTATTTCAGCTTCGGGTTCTTCAAATGTTGATAAATAATCAAGTAAATAAATTTCATTATAATTTATTCCTTGTATAAGTAAACGAAAACCAAATAAATGTCGTATTGTTGGTGAACATCGAAGTGTACGTTCAACAATACGACGACGTATATAAGATAATTGTTTTGATGTTAAATATGGACATGGACCATATGCACCCATACGTAATGGATCTGTTTGTATTATAGGTAATTGTGTATAATCACCATCACCATCACTGACTATATATAGAATACATATTTGATTATTTTCAATTGAATAACCATGTTCGACAATAATTGATTGATTTAATTTACCAAATATATGATCCTAATATATAAATAGATCTATGGATTACTTATCAAAATTGAAGATATATTCAAAATATTGACAAATCTCGAATATGAAATTAAAATCTAGATGTAATGTTTATGTTTCAAAATAATGAATAAATGTTAAAAATTTCACGTAAATTCGAAATGTTGCTCCTGTGAAATGAGTTTTAAAGAGGAGAGGACGTTAATTAAATGATTCACTCGTTTTACATACTTATATCTATAACCATGCTAAAAGTGAAGTCAAATGGTATGTAAACTAGAGAATCTAAACTTCGAGTATACATATTTCGTTTTTTTTTTTTTTAATAATTACAAATTATCGTCTCAAAAAATAGTACAGAGAAAAACGAGATAACAAATGCAGTAATTTGTTTGACTAAAGTTTAAAAACTCTTCAAAACTACTTTTTAATGATCTATAAAAATTCTTTCAATAAATCTCTTATTTATTCTGTAGAGCCAAATAAGCTGTAATTACCTTGAAAAGACTTCGTAACCTTGCCTTAATGTGTACTATAATCTATTCTTATTAAAACTTGTTTCGATATTAAATTCAAAGTTCAAATTCGAAAATCAAATTTTTCTGGTACACCATAGTAATAACCTAAGTACACGAAGGTAGCCGTAGCTCATTTAAATTTATCTTATAACTATCGTCTATAGTCCCTTGAGTTGGTCTAGGATCAAACGAGCTTTAGTCGTCTAAGAAATATGTACAATGCACTTCTCACTAAATACTACAAATTGCAAAAAAAAGTACCTCGTATTCTCAGGGCAATTGTTCAATTCCGATTAAAAACTTTCATTCCGATTATCAAAGTGTAGGTTGATCAGGTCCAAAAGTTGTGAATTCAACGAATTCTAACATAGATTCTAGACTATTCTTTCTCAAAAGACAATTTATTATTATTTTTCTTACCTCAAAAACCGCTTTAATAGTTTGTATTGTTTCTTCTCGAGTTTTACAATTAATTAAACCATTACCATTCGTTGCACGAATAACCCATTGTTCTTGATTAGGATATCTAATTTTAATTAAAAAAAAAAAGAAAAGCAGCCAATTTATTACATTTTGTTTTCTTAATCTTACTTATTTAAAAAATTTTCTGCATCTTCTTCATTTAAACAATGTGTCCAATCTAATGTTGGAATTTTATGTTTAGTCATAAATTGTTTTGCATTTAATTGATTATCACTTAATGCTAATGTATCAACAGAACATCCTAAATAATGTAAACCACGTTCACATAAACGTGCTTCAAGTTCTTCAAAATAATATGTTTTATTTAATGATATAACAAGATCAATTTGTTTTGTATCAACATAATCTAATATATCTTTTTCTGTTTGAAATATATTTGATATTGTTATATTTGATTGATCAATTGTTATACCACTATTACCAGGTGATATTAAAATTTTAAAATTTCGTCGTTGTAATAATTTCCATACAAGTGCATGTTCACATGATGTTGAACCAAGTACAAGTATTGTTGCTGACATTGGTTGTACTAATGATGTACATGTTGAATATGCATCATTATCATCTGAACGTGCAAGTACACGTTCAAATACACGTATATCTGATGGTGCTGTATTAACATCATTATTTAATGATTTTGTAAATAATACACGATCAAATAATTTTTGTAATGTTTTAGAATATATTTTTGTTGATGATGATACAAATAGATTACCACCAAGTTCTTTTAAATGTAATAAACGTTTTGTTGGTACTTCAATAATTGGTTGTGTTATTATATCTTCAACACTGTTCAATTGTTCTTTGATTATTTCAGATGATAATTCAGTTTCATTATCAATAATTAAACCTGATTGTGTTTGAGCGACATTTGTTGACGACGATGACGAGTGGTTCTCACGTTGACGATAGGCGCCTGAAGATGATATCCGCGACCGCTTGTTGCCGCCACCCCGGTTGTTCGCCTGCGACATCTGATACAACTTTATGATTATATCGTTCAATATCAACTAGAATAGATAGTTAAATCATATAAGAAATCTATAATATCAATCTTTTCAATTAAAAAAGATTAATAACATATCATAGTATACAATTTAAATCAAACATAATAAAGTATAAAATAAAGCTTTGTAGAACTTAATAGGCAAAAGGCAAGGTGCATGTTTTGTTTATTTACCTTTTCATGTCTGAAATATTGAATACCAATAGTAAATAAAGAAGAACCTCCAATATGACGAGATGTCGCCTATTTACCTCACCAATTAATTTTAAGCATGGCGCTAGTTTCATCATCGTTGTAATTGAACAACAATCATCCAATGTAAATTGTTTCAATGACTATGCAACAAAAAAAAATATATTCTTTTCAATACCATTTTTCCATATATATATGATAAAAGATTCAATAAAAGAAAAATGTTTTTATTTTCAAACTTCATTTTTTTTTCTCAAAATAGACTTTAGTCTCATAGCAAATTGCTAAAGCTTCTCAAGGACATTGGAAAACTGATTCTCGAATTTCTGCTTTAAACTTAGACTTGAAACTTTTGCCAATAACTATGACTCTCATAATGGCATGTTTCTATGTAAATTTTCAAGTGAACTTTTGAATACCAGCTGTCATGGTGACCCTGAGAGGGGGACTACAGCAATCCGTAGCTCAAGGTATTCACAATTCATTTAAGTTTCTGTTTTGCGCAAAGATTCGAATCAGAAACAATTGAGCATTTGTGGAGATTCCTTCGTCAGAAACATTCTAATTATATTTTCTATCATTATAAGTAAATTACGTTATACACTACAGCAATCAATGATACACTAATCGAAAGATGAACATTTCATGCGAAGGATAATATGAATTAATTTTCTCTAACGAAAAAATATATTCAACTGTTATTTGCTGATCAAAGTGCTATTTCAACCGTTTTTTTCAAACTTTCGTACATAATTAGATCTGTTGATATAATCAAAAGCATCAGTCAAACATATGGTTCCTTCTCGGAATATTGAATATTCAGAAAAAGCCAACTTTAGTTCAATATTCATTCTGTCGAGAAGAAACTATCTGCATTGGCCTAAACTTTTAGAATATTCCTACAATCAAGAAATCTACTTACGTACAAATTTTCAAATGAAAAATTGTTCTTTTTATTCTTTCTATGAAAAACTTGTGATAAGTCAGTGATTCTATAGAATAGTAATGACCTATAGAATACAACAGACTCCAAAGCAGAGATGACCACCGCGGCGCGGTAGCGGTTGTTTTTTTAACTAACTATCGCGGTAGCGGTAGGTTTTTTTGGAGAACAATGCAAAAATAGATGAATTCGAACAGAATTTCAATGTTTGCAGAAGCGAAACTATGAGATTCAACGAATCTTATCGATTGATAATAACAGCTCAAGTCCTGAACAGTCACAGATCGTAAAATTCACAACATTATTCTAACAATCATCGCGGCAGCGGCGCGGTCGCGGCATAATTATTTTTGGTGGCATCGCGGCAGCGGCACGGTAGGTTTTCTGTTTTTATCACCGCGGTGCGGTAGCGACGCGTTAGCTTTTTTCTTTTATCCTCGCGGCGCGGCAGCGATCAGTTTTCAACCGCGATGGACATCTCTACTCCAAAGCGTTTTGCTGACAACAAGATTTGATCGATATATAAACTTTTTAGTGGACTTTCACTATACTTCCAAAATATATGTTTTATACAGTACCAATGAAAAATCACTTGAAGTTTGAAAAATGTATGTTTCGAAGGCACTCAATCGAAAACTTATTCATTCTTCTCAGGATATTTTAGTTTATTGATCTCCTATATCCAACCAATGTTTTATCAAGTATAAAAATTGACCGACCGATGGTCTTTCAAAAGAGAGAATCTTAAAAAAAAAAAAGCATTTGTTTCAAATTCCTCGAATTTATTTATCAAAGACAGAAAAAGAAAAACAATTCATTGAAATCGAATATTCGATCGTACACGATTTATACAATGTGCATAAACAGATATATCAGACGAGAGAAAAAAAATATTTTCAGTAACATCGTCTTGATACAAGACATTTCAAAAACAAAAAAATTTTTTTTTTTTTAACTTCAATCTCTAAATAATTCAATAACAAAATTAAATGCAACATGTTCATATAATGGAAATGTTTGTTTAATAACAACTTGATAACAATTCATTATAAAATTACTTAAGACTAATTTTCCACGAGGTAATCGTAATTGATAACCCATTTGTTTACAATCAGGATTTGGTATACGTTCAATAATTGTTTGATTAATACCATCATATACATAAAGTGTTGCTTGTCGTGCACGTATTGTATTAAACGAACGAAATGCACGTTGACAAGTAAACCAAAATGATGCACAATCAGTTGAAAATTGTGCATTTGCTTGAAATATTAAACCTTTATATGTTAATTTATTATTTTTATAACCATTTAATATAATTATATGTCGATTTGAATCATAATATGATCGATCATCTATTTAAGAAAAAAAACAAATTTTTTTAATCAATTAAAATATGAATAAAAATTACAAACTATATATATGTTTAATTCCATAAATAAATTCATGTCGATTATTAATTAAACAAAGTGAACGTGCAAGAAATGCTTTTTTAAATTTTTCATTTAATTGTGATTTCGAAACTGATGATATTAAATGATGTTTTTCAACATCACCTGTTAATGATAATAATTTTGTACGTAATAATATTAATATTTTAATAAAATATTCATCAGGTAAACCAAGAAACATCATACCATTTAATAAATCATCATAAAATAATAATTGTTGTGGACTTTTTTGTAAATTTTCATCAGCATATAATAAATCAATACATGTTAATAATGTTTTTTCTGTAAAATTAAATGTACAATGATATTCATTTAAATAACATTGTTGACTTGAATCATATGTTGATTTTGGTTGATTATATTTAAAAAATAAACGAAAATATATTGATGATGCACTTAATACAAGACGATGACATAAAACAGATGATGATAAACCATTACATGTATAAATAAGACGACAATCACAACAATGTCGACTTGATAAATATGTACGAAGTTTTGAACTTAAACCAATTGACATTGATGATAAAGATATTTCTTTTCAAAAAAAAACAAAAAAAAAGACAAAAATATTGAATTTTTTTTAATAATTAGAAAGAAAAATGAAATTTACCAAGATCTTCATCATCATGAAATAATATAGAATTATTATTATTATTATTTCGTTTTGTATTTATTGTTTGTGTTTTTGTATGAACAAATTGCATTTGTGATTTTGCTTTTTTTTTTTGTTTTTTATTTTTTTTGTTATGAAAATATACGGATGACCGATGACGTTCAATATGTATTGACCAGTCAGTTATGAGCTATTGCTTTCTTTTCTTTTTGTTTTTTTCTTTGTGTTACCGATAGATGACTTAATGGCAAGAGAGAACAGTTAAACATATTGTTTTAGATAGACAGCAAATAACGGGCTAACATGTATGCATAGATAAAATAGATAGAGAACAGCCGATATTATTGAAAAATAAGAAAAGAATTTTTAGTCCGTCGGTTATTTATTATCGTTTCTTTTTCTGTCTTCTTGCGATGTAGAGACAAGTTAATAACATACGGAAAGAAAAGATGATTGAATGATGTTTTTGTTTTTGTCATACAAAACCAAAAATGATGTGATAGTTCAGTTGTATTGATGTCTACGGATTTATATTTGTTATATTGAAATAGATTACAGTTAGATGTAAGAAACATTTTAAGCCAGGGGGCGGCGCGAGTACCCCCTCCTGCGTTTGAAAATTATCGTTTTTTTGCTCAACTATTACCTCAAAATTTGATTTTGTTTTATATTTTCTCCCATTTTTCGAAAATACTCCCTCTCCTGCTTTGACCTCCTGGCGCCGCCCCTGTTTTAAGCACAAAATGTTTCACAAGTCTGTCGTAAAGGAAAAACAACAATGTGAATATCTTCTAATTAATTCAAATGATATATATATATATTTGTTTTGGCATAGATTAAACATGTATCCAACTGTGCGTATATGGAGTAAATCATTAGTTAGCGATGTGACATTGCCAAATTAGAATACATGTATCTCCATATATTAAACATTCCTCGAACTAATTTTGATATGTTACATGTATGTCAATTTGGTCTAGATAGGTTCGAGAGACATTCGCTAATGACTTTTTAATTAATAGTCAGCTGATCTTTACCATATGTCTACGTTGACTGATATATCCTCGATATTCAAGTTGGTATTCCTTTCATAGAATATTTATGAGAAATGGAAGAAGAAAAATTTTAATTTAACAAATATCGAATGAATTGAATTATTGTACAACAGATAATCAATTATCATACTTAATATGAAAAGTAAACTTTTTGAAAAATGCTCATCATCATGTGGTACACGCTAAGGAAAGAAAAAGTGAAAACTGTGTACTTCAAGAGTGTGCTACGTGCATATTAGTTTGAATTCATTTTAAATATATTTCTTTCCTTGGTCATTATAAAATGTTTAACTTGTTACAATAGTCTGTCTCATTCCAGAAACGAGAGTAGAATGAACGATGGCTGAACATCTTCCGATGAAATCATGCAAGGAATAATTTATCTAATAATAATTTTACAGAAAAGATTTAGGATATGGGTGGAATCAATATTTACATCCACATCCTAGGTTTAGCATCACAATACATAAACAATTTGAATATTAAATAGTTCGCGCCTGATATATATTTAATCTTTTAGTAAATTGTTTATTGTATAAAAGAATATATCAAATGTAAATAAAAAAAACAAAAAACCTATTTTCTCAATTTCTAAAAACTGATGACTTCAACAAAGCATACTTCTCTTACAACAACAAAATATACTGGACATATTGAAGATAGTTCTATACTTCAAACATTCATTCGTACTGATCTATCAAATCAACGAATACCAGTAACACATCTTTTTATTGCTCATTATCATGCTTATCCATGTACAGTTGTAATTCAAGCTTCAACTAGTTTAGGTAAACTTCATGTTCCTACTATACGTCGTTATATTGAAAATGATCACAAACATAATTCAACAGAAGATATTATTAAACGTGAATATCATCCTATAATACGTTCTTTTTATATAACTGATTTTCTTGCTAATCTTGGCAATGGTATTATGATTGATTGTGAAAATTGTCAATTAATAAATGATATTGATAATCCTAATAAATATAAATCAGATGGATTTGATGATTATTTTTTAATAGTTGAAAAAGTACGAATTAATTATTTACCTGAACATGATATTTATGTTAATGACGAATTAGCAAGTAAATTATCATCATTTTATGTTCTTCAATCGAAATTAACAACTATTCAAGTAAAGTGTTTTTAATAGAGTTATAAAAACCTAATCAATCGAACCTATAAATGAGAATATAACAAGTATCTCTTCTACTAGGAAATCATTTCAATTAATCAAATTTTTTCTCTGATTTGTTTTTGTAATTAATGTTAGAAAAAAAAAATTCAAAAATATAATTGTTCTTTTAGGTAGTATGTAAATCTTCACAACAAGGTTATTATCTCCATGGAATAAATATTAAAAAACCATTTATTTATGATCTTTCATTGAGTTATGGTAAAGATTTCATAAGTATTCATCATCAAATTTTGAAACAATTAAATAAAATTGAATGGAAAGGAATTATTCTTCTTTATGGACTTCCAGGAACAGGTAAATAAGTGTATTAATTTAATTGTCTTGTAATTTTAATATATTATAAATAAAGGAAAGACATATTATATGCGTTATTTAATAAATGAACTACAAGAAAAGAATGTAATTTTTTTTCCATCCGATATAATTCATAATCTTTCATCATCAGAATTTCTTCAAATACTTAAAATATATTCTCATTCGATTATTTTCATTGATGATGTAAGTTTAAAACATTCTAATAATAATAATAATAATAAATACATTTTTAACAATAATTCTAGGCAGAAAATATAAACAAAGATCATCCAGATCAAGCATTAAATAATTTATTTAATTTGTATGATTATATTCTATATTTTATTTTTTTTTTCAATTTCAACTTTATTTCATCTAGAAATCATCTATCACATCAACCAATTGTTGCTACATTTAATACTTATTCATTACAAACATTTTCTCATCATAAAATTTCATCTATTATTCAATATTCTTTTGATAGACTTGATCTTCTAAATACTCGAATACTTCTCAAAATCTTAGGTTCACAACGTGATAATGAAACTATTAAACAATCAATGACATTAGGCGAAATTTATACTCAAATAATACTTGATATAAAAACACAAAATGAAAATACAATAGAATCAAGAAAAAAATTACAAACACCTGATGAAATGATACAATTATTAGCTGAACAAGAATTATCTTTATCTGATAAAGATAATTGTATACTTTCATAATTTTTATCTTTCAAATAAACATATTTACAATCGTCTATTTTAGAATAACAAAAATAAATTATTTCTTTTTTTAAGTCTCAGAGATGCAAACAAACTCATTTTTATTCTCATGAATAGAACTATTATTGTTCTGTTTTGTAGTTCTATTGGATGAACTGATTTTCATATTGACAGTAAATGACACTTCCAGATTCAAAACAATTAATTGACAGTAACAACTAATAAGATATCTGAAAATAACGAGATTTTTTTAGTAAAAAAAACAAACAGAGATAGTTTGAATTATTTTAATTTACTTAAACATAGTGCAAGTATAGCAATAAATAAAAACCATTTTCTAACATATCTTGATTGTTCATTCATCATTTTAATCATTGGATTTTCATGATAAATTAATAATTTTGATATTCTATCATGATTAATCTGTGATAATCCCGCTTGATTAATATCATTTTCAAACATAGGTACACATTTCAATTGTGATAGATTGGGAATAACTGTATTTTTAAGACACTACAATACAGCGAAGAACATTTATAGTATTTCCGCGATATTTTATTTTCATAGAAGTAAGTGTCTAGAGATCTCAATGAGTTGGACTAAGCCCAATTCGGCCTAGCTAATGAACACTCATGAATCAAATCGTGAATAAAAAAAAGATGAAACCGCTATGAAATGAAAAAAACTTTGTTTCTACTCAACAATATGTTTTTTGTATTGTTTCTAGTGGTGGAGCTAGGGGTCGGCTGGGGGGCTCAACCCCCCCACACCCCAGAAACCTTTGAGCCCCTCCCAGGAAAATTTTTAAACCATGTATTTTATTTGCTAACCGGGGCTCAGAGGGAACTGAGCCCCCCAGCTCAAAATCTTGGCTCCGCCACTAATTGTTTTCCTCGTTTATAAGACTTGTGTCAAGTGTTATGTTCTTATGATTCATGTGGTTTAAAATTTTATGCGAAAATTATTAAGTAATGATCACTTCAATATTTACTATTCTAATTTTCATGATAAAATTAATCGTTTCTTCTTAAAGAATAGAACTATCGAATTCGTTAACGGTAAAATTTGTTGAGAAAAGAACATTCATGTTCCTAAAAAAAACAGCTTTACTTGACATTGACAGATTGAAATACAGACACAATGATGACCATGTTTCAATAAAAATTTTCGTTTTGCTAATATTGAATTTGTAGATAAATCATTGACATTTGCTTGTATAGAGATTGGTGAAAAGATTATTCGTTTCCATTGACTTCGTTTTAAAGATATTGTAAAAAATATTAATTGTTCATACATTGGACTAACATGATATTCATATGGATATTTTTGTTTTATAAAATACGACTTTTTTAATTGATTTTGTTTAAGAAATATACGTATTGAACATAGAGATAAACCTGTATTATTTATAATGAATGCTATTTGAAATGTATATTGAGAAAACGATTCAATTGTAATTTCAGCAATTGAAACTAAACATCTGTGAAAATGATATTTTTTATGAAAATTATCTAGCAAAAAACTATGTACTTAAATCCAATCGATTGACGTTGTTTAAGTGTTAGATTAAGACGAAATTGATGTTTATATGGTATAAGAAATTTAAATTTATGATTATATTCATAGACTGGTAGTTCAAGATGAGGTTGAAAAACATAACGAAAAGATTGTTTATTCATTTCATTTGACTAAATAGATTAATAAAATCATTAAATTAATTATTTTCTTTTTTTTTTTTGTAATTACTTTATCAATAAGCCAAAAATCAAATGGTTGATTTTTTAAACATTCAACTGAACATTTTTGATCATCTGTTGTATTAATTATTTTCTTACATATATTATTTTCGTCAAGATTTAATTCAGATTTATTAACTATCATAAATTCATGATAAAATTCCTAGAAGATCAAATTAATTGTTTTGTTTTTTTTTATTTATCATATAAAAATTACATTTAATTGTATTTTATTGTTTATTGTTAGTATTGGTTGACGAACTAATAAATATTTGTATTCATTAAGAAAAATATTCGATGTTGAATATTCATCTGTTGCCAATGATATTATTTGAATATCAGCAATTTCAGTAGTTTTATTTACAAATGGAAATCCATTAAGATCTGTTTTTAATAATAACCTCCAAGTAAAATCATCTTCAAGTTCGTAAATATGAACAGATAAAGAAAAATGTAATTGACGAGAATCAATATCGTAGACATTATACCTAGATAAACTATATGATCGGTTCTAGGAATGATTGATAGAGCTTGTCGAAACGCTTTATAAGCGTTGAAATATACCAAAAGCAACAACTCTCACTTAGCTCGATATTTGTTCTTTGCTTTTATTAGTCATATGGTTAAGATAATATTATTTTTTTCGATATGATAACAATACGTCATACATAATGGGTTTCGATTCGAAGTAGATTTTTCATATTATTGTTTTATTTGGAAATAAAACTGTCATGGTTAACATGAATCTAGTTTTGTTATTATATTTTTCAAAAACTTTGCATAACTATTTCTCTAGTCATATGACGAGTATAAACCATAGATGCATTGAAACGTGTTGATTATGATATGTCGATTTATAAGGCTATTAAACTCTGGAAAACTTTCATATGGCTTTTTTATTTATATGATATGAAAACTCTCGCTTGTTCATATTTTTTTATCAAATTAATAAAAATATACAATATTTCATTTTCTAGACTGTGTCTAATTCAATCATAGAATCGTATAACAGCTGTCTATTATTAATATTCATGCGTCCAAATTTTTCGGCAGATAAAAAGACATTCATTTGTTCATTAGTAGAAAACATTTAGAACGAACAAGATTAGATACACTAACAAAAAAAAAATTTCAATTAAATTATGAACACTGATGAACTAATCTATTCGATAATTTATATTGTTATTTTCGCGCTGTGTTCGAATCGAGTGGGCTTTTATTTTTTACGGGGAGAAGAAGTTTATTTCACATGTTACTAATTACTTTATCGTGAAAAAGAAAAACCACATTTCTAGAGATAACTCAATAAACTTCATTCAATCATGATGAGAAAATATTTGCTAAATTTTTAAAATTGCCGATATATTACCAGTAATCATCCATTCGTATGCAATGTATAGTTGTCTGACAAGTTTGATTGAAACAATCTTTACATGAGAATTCCTAGATGAAAAATGTCTTGTATAGATAAACTTTGTAAATCAAAAACGAAACTTTAACAGATTTTGCTGTATGTATATCAAAACTATCATAACCACAAAAAGTAGATTGTTTTGTATTTTTTTCACAATTATTATCTGTTTGAAATTGTGGAAATGAAATTGAAAACAATTTATTATTGATACTCTATAAGAAAAAAATAAAAAAATTTAAAAATTCATATTAACAGTAGTACCTTTAAATATTCTAATGGATATATTTCAGCTGATTCAATATATAAATAAACAAGTAATGGTCTTGATAATAGAATTTCTTGTTTATTAAAGCTATGACGTGCTCGTTCGATTATGATTACATTCGATTTTTGCTATTTTAAAAATTATAAAATATAAAAAATTCACAATATTGATTTGTCTTACAAATGAATCAATTTTTGTTGTTTCATTAATTATTATCTCGATTGTTTGATATTTTTCTAAATAATCCATACGAGTAGAATGAAAGAGAAATATTATCAAATAAAGCATCTAAAACGATTTTTTTTTTAAAACTTTATCTCAATAGTATAAAATAAAATAAATCAGATTATTCAATAGAAAAGACAATAATGAAATTTAATCTTGTTCAATATTTCATTTTTATATAAAGAAAAGATTAAAGGAATTTGATTTTAAAGAAAGAGAGAGAGGAGCAAGAGAGAAACAGAGAGAATGTTTGACCTATATATATATGTAAGATTGTGGACTACGTAATATTATGTTCATTCTGACATAACTCACACTTGATCTATTAACCACAAAAAAAAACAGAAGAAGGTGCTTATAAAATCAACAATAATGTCATTTATGATCGATAATATTCTTGGTTCATCATCGACATCAACAAATACAAATCGAAGACTACCACTTCAGTCATTAACAAATACTCTTATAAATATCTCATCAAATAGTAAACAAAAAGAACGTCGTATGTGGAAATGTGAAACATGTGAAAAATCATTTGATCGTCCATCATTATTAACACGACATATTCGTACTCATACAGGTAAAATAAAAATAATATAAAGATTTTAAATGAATGAAAATAATTTTTTATTTAGGTGAAAAACCACATGAATGTGATATATGTTCAAAAGCATTTTCAACATCATCATCATTAAATACTCATCGTCGTATTCATTCAGGTGAAAAACCTCATATTTGTGATATATGTAATAAATGTTTTACTGCATCATCAAATCTTTATTATCATAAATTAACTCATAGCAAAGTAAGAAAACTTCAATAAAATATAACATATTTCTATTTTTGTTATTTTTTTTTGTAAATAGGATAAACCTCATAAATGTTTACAATGTTCAAAAAGTTTTGCAACACCAGGTGATCTTCGTTGTCATTCACATGTACATAATGGTACATGGCCATATCGTTGTCCAATATGTACAAGAGGATTTTCAAAACAAACAAATCTTAAAAATCATTTACTTATTCATACTGGTCAAAAACCATTTCAATGTCAATATTGTTTAAAAAAATTTTCATTATCATGTAATCTTCGATCACATATTCGTATACATCATAATGAATTTCCATTAGATTTTTCATCATCAACATTTTCAGAAAATCATTCTTCATTATCAATTGTTGATGATGATCAAGATCAAAATTCTATAATTGATGTTGAAAATCATGATTAAACGTGTTTTTTTTGCTTGTTCGTTTATATATAACGCACAATGAACAGTGTTGTTTTTGTATATATATATTATGTATAAATAAATTTGTGTTTTCGATTATAATGAAAAAAAAAAAAAGAAAAACAGATTTAATTCCGGAAGTTTGTCTAACATGATGAACCAGACAGATGATTTCAATCACGATCAAATTTCTTGTTGTTCTCAAAGGAAGGAAAGCAGGAAGGAAGAAACTTTTTTTAATGATTGAACTCATCAAATTCATTTTTAATGATTTTCTTGTTTTGTTTTTTGATAGACAATGTTAAGCATTGTTTTTCTTGATTTAATTCAAATTATGTCATTTGATGTTATAGTTCTGTTCATATTGAAAAAGATGAAATAAACCGCAACTACTATAGGAAATAGGACAAATAATTAGACATGTCAATACAAAAAAAAAACATACATATGTTTCTATAGACTAATTTTCAAAGTCAACAAGTTCAAAGATGAATTTCATTTTGATGAACTTACATTGATTTTTTTTTTTTTTGTTAGTTCAAAATTCACAATCATTCGCTAATAGACCAATATATACAATTTATTATAGAAAAGATAACACTAAGATGCTGATTAATATGTTAGTTTTTTTTTGTTTCATTGTTGTTTCAAGATGTAGGGAACTGATTGTCTATATCTTTATAAGTATGGGAAAACATGTGAAAAAAGAATATTTTCTTTGTTATAAGATATGAGACTTATATATGAATTGCTCTAGGGTTGTAAATATATATTTATTAGAGAATAATGACAATCGAATAGAAGTAGATGTAAATTATTGTCAGAACTGTTCACTAATCAAGATTAACGTTCTTCTTCTTCTTTTTTTTTTTTGTTTCTTATGCTTCTCTCAAACGATAATTGCATGTATGCATGTCATGTGGAGATTAAGTGAAGTGTTGAAATCTCGAGAGAGCGAGAGTCACAGAAATACGAATGACCGGAAGTAATCACATACAGACGTATATACCGTCATTTCACAAGTGCAAATGACTGAAAAATTGATTGCATAGTTAACTAATTACAAATGAAGATCAACATATATAAAAGTAGACGATGCCGAATATATATTTATTATGTATGTGAACACCAAAGAAAGTCGAGTGAGCGGAAAAGAAAAAAAAGATATGTAAGAATATATTTTCAAGTGAACAATCACAACAATTGACCACATCTAATCATCAAAAAAAATGGATTAAAAAGTCTTATAAAATATCTAATATCTGCATATCTGATTGTTTAAAAGAAATAAATTAAAAAAAATATTCATAATAGATAGCAAACTTTTAAATTAATTTCATCTTTAACATCAAAACAGATTTATAATGAAACCTGCACTAATAAAAATCTTCCATTTTGAATTCATTTTATACTATGGTAGTCTCTGTTACATGAAAACACATGTACTTTTTTCTTTTGCATTATTTCTGGCTAATGCATTACAATTGCTGTTCATTATTTGTTATAACTGAATATATATCAGAGAAAAGAATTGATTATTATTAACAACGAATGTTAATCATCCAACCAGTTCAGGCTTTTTTTCCTGCATGATTTATGAGTGAAGATATGTAGAATTATATATGGTTTAGTCTTGATCTAGAGAAAACAATTCCCGAAAATTATCCCTATCACATCTAAAATAGTTCTTTAATACGCGTTTTTTCATTTATTTATTTGACGACTAGCATTTTTTTAAGTTAATTCTCTTAAAGGATGTGGATATGAGGTAAAGATAGACATTTACACCAACCGTCAAGTAAATTGTTGAAATACAGAAAAATTTCTAAGCAAAAAATGGTCATTGTGACTGATAAGTATTTCATTTAGATCAATCTTAAGTATATAAACAACTGATGAAAAGTTTTTTGATGAGTTATTAAAAGATGTATAATGTTGAGAGAACAATCACATAGCTTATTTATAGTTTTCAATATGATAATTCAATGAAGTGACATGAGAAGAAATATAAAACATGAAAATAAGACGATGAAAACTGTTGAAACAACACTAAAAAAATCAGATGTAAACAATATTCTTCCATAATCTTATAATATTTATTTAGTAAGAGATGATTTGCTTTGAAAACATTCGTTTCAACTAGAGTGAATTTCGAAAAATAAAACGTAAATTTATTCAATTAATAATATATCTGATCATAAATTGATTGCATATATTTTGATTTTAATCAACAACTAATGATAGAATAAGAATAGTCAGAATAAATAATATAACATTGATCATGTCTTTGCCGTTGTTATTAGGACATGTTAGGTTAAGTATAAAAAGACAAAGTTATTATATCAAATAAAAATCTGTAGAATTGTGAATTTTTTTTTTTTATCAACTTTTTGATGTCATCAATGTGATGGAAGAGAAAATGTTAATAAGAAAAAGAAACATAACCTAGGGAAATAGATAAATAAATCTTGCTGATTAGATTGTGTGCAAAAACAGTCATACTAGTGCTATTAAATTAACGAAAGCATAAACATTGTTAACGAAGAAAATATAATCGGTTTGAATAAATAGAAGTAAAGAATTAATTAATCATGCAGTATCCCCTACATGGTTGATTAAAACCAAGAAAATTCTATAGTTTCACTTTTGATTAATTTTTGTTTCGAATTTTTAAGGATCATAGAATTCTCTTTTATGTAGGAAGTACTAAAAAAAATAAGTAGGAAATTAGAGCAAGAGAAGATACCGTAGTGATACTTCTCTATATACTCATGCAATAATTATCGAGAAACCATTACCGGTTTTTTTGAAAATGTTGCATCACGGTATATACATCGAAACGAGTGAGTATTTTTTTTTTAAAGACTGTTGAAACTGATAGAATTGAGTCATTTACGATGCACTCTAACAATTTTGATGCATCTAACCCATTTTTGTAATAGCCACAGAACCCAAATCAGTTCCAGCCATGAGATTAATTTTTATTGTAGATGGTCCTGAAAACATTTTTTTTCTTAGTAAACGATATTCTGAAACTGTTTTTTTCTTAGTTAATTTGAGTGCTACCAGTACTAATGCGAACAAATGTATGACATAGGTAGTTGTTGACAAAAGCAAAAATTATAGATTTTGGTGAAGAATACACAATATAATTGAAGAAAAATTCCAGATTTAGGAATGTTCTTATTCGCGATATCTTCTTAAATCGATGTTCATATTCTCTTTTAGCAATTTGTCTTGTTTGATGAAATTTTTATTATAAAACAAAATCTTACATGTAATTATACCGATGATCTTAATGAGTATTAAACTGCTGGAAATATTATTCTAGATTTTAAAGCGATAATAGATTTGATTGGTTTATTTCAATGCTCGATGAGACGGATATCTGGGATTTATATGAGCAACAAAACAAAAGCCTGATACTAATTCATAAATTAATATGATTTGTAGAAAACAATCACGATATGGATCAGTTGGCGTTCTTTTGTGATCGAAACGATCCAATCTCTGAAGAAAATACTATTCGTTCTATATTATTAATGAAAGATAAGGCATAACGTCTTATTTTGCTATTATGATTAAGAACATGCATGTAAGAATTATTTCAAGTTCCAAATTGAACATTATAACATCAGTGAAAACTGAATGAAAATAGAACAATTGTTTATTATTCTTTCGAAAATTTTTCATAGTCGTCTAGAGTTTCAATCGAAAGATCGTTTTATGAAATACAATTAATGTGAGATGTGTTCAATGTTGATTCATTTTTTTAATACATTTGTTAAATTATTGTGGGGTGTGAATGTGGTTCAAAGATGAAAATTAGTGCGCCCATGCATAGCATACAGACCAATTTATGACAAGTAACAGGCTCACTTTCTATTACCACTCGCTATTTTAAGTAGGTGATAGCAGCACAGTCTCTCATTATTTTAATTGAAAATTTTTCTTAGTATTGTATTCTTATTTCTAACTGAGTGATAACTTCTAAAGCTTTGATTTCGCAATGCAGGCATATCAGTTTTTAAATTCCATTTAGTAATCAATGGATAGTTAAAAGCACTTCGGTCATGAGCTGAGCGATGCAGTATTAAATACAACAATATATTTCTTATTCAGTTTATTGTCGGTCCGTGAGTGCCAAGAAAGGTAGATTAGTTTTTGATCCTTCTAGAAAATCAATTACTTCGACTAACAGCTCAAACTCTTCTATCTGTATTCATTTTTGTGTTTGAACTGCGATACTGATGGTATGTACATCAGCAAGTAGATATGTAGCTTCTGTATTCGAACAATTATGTTGTATGCACGATGTTGTTCCTGAGAATACCGAGATGCCACCACGTTAATCCATCTTCATTATTCGTTCTCCAAAAAACGAGTCGATACTTAAGCCTTTGGTCGTTATTCGGAAGAAGTTTGTTCGACAGAAGAATCTATTCGCCGATCATCACTCGTAAAATTTTAGTACCCGATTGATCGCCAGTTTGTAATTGATCTTGATACCGAATCTTATAAAGATGAGGACGATCATGAGCGAAACTGAGAGCCAACTCGGAAACTTTCACGAAACTTGTTGAGATTATATTCAGCACAAATCTTGGTGTAGATTGATAAGCGAAATAGAATTGTAGTGCTGCATTGAAATTATAACTTCGACCACTTTATTGTTCTAGTTAAATAATCGCTGGACTTTCGTGGCCCGTTGTGTTACTTGTACCTTTCGTCAAAGAATATTGTTGAATGAAAACCATATGCAAAATGAATTTTGGACTGTTGCAGAATAATGATCAAATTAGTATACTAAGCATTGTATTTAACTGAGACCAACACCAAAACAGATTTATCTAAAGAATGAATGATCCATAGTCTGCTACCTCCATTAAGTAGCTCGAAAAATGATTTTTTTTTTGCGACACATTCCCACTTGCTCCTGGTGGAAGTGCTAAAGCTCCTAAGTAACTTCATATAGCAGCGTACTACACATAGAATGAATA